GTTACTAAATTTACTTTCTAATACATCCATATTGTTTGTCCGATAAGAAGCAGACTCACTCTCTGACGATCTCGACGCGCGTCAATCATAGCGACTGCTGTAATTATTGCACGTCCACCCCCATCCCCCGAATATCAAACGTATGCGACGTATAGATATGTTATACGTGTCGCGTATATATATTCCGTATCCGTCAGATTTTCCGCGTCTGTGAGTCGGCGCGACGTACATACGTTTTCCCCGTAGGCAACCCTAGGAAAACCTTCCAGGGGGTAAAAACACGCAGGGGATGCCAGCAATCTCCGTCGAAACGCATTTCTCATCGCGGCAGTTGAAAACGAAATATTCCGCGATTTTATTTCGCGAGCGTGGGTATCTGCTTTATTGAAAACACCTACCCATATGTAAATCTAAAACGTCCGAGTACGTTTAAGAACGCGCAGAATATTTAAAATAATAAAACACATAGAGCAACTACATTAAAAGATTTTAATAAATAATGTAGAAACAAAAACTATCTAATTTTTTTTACACGCATGTTTATTTGTTAAACATTTGCTTATATTTATATTTCGCCGGAATGGTTTCTTCGCGATGGTCGAGTAGTATATACAAAAAATGTTACGCGAATTTATTTTTGCAATTGGTTTGTAGCAATTGTCTGTCGTTGATAATTTGCATGGTCGAGATGCGTCGCGAATATACAGTAGAGTCGAGATGGCAGGAACAACCCTCGGAGTTGCGTCGCGTCGGGGCACGCACGGAGGGACGACGAGGGCGCGTGTCCGCGTTCCCACGTGTCGACGATGCCGGGGGGTTCGTGTCGAGCGCACACGTACACCCCCGTTGTGTGCTCGTCGTTCCGTCACGTTTCTCACTCTCGCGCGGATTCTATACCCGATATTTGCCCTACTCGCGGCTGTAAGTGGGCGCGACCGACCTAGAACAGACGATCTCTCGAAACTCTGCGCAAATAAATCGACTGTCTCGTAACAATACGATCTCTCTCGTTGTTTTTGTCAGATGGCCGCTTCATTAGACGAGAATTAATTGGAATTCTCTTTAAGAAGAATTTGTATATCCGTATTATCGTAAATTATATTAAAACCGCATTTTTAATATATTACGCATCTATTTATTGGAACAAATTTGTTTTTTAGTGTAAAATATTAAAAGAAAAAGAAGATTTATTGCGATAAAAAGATAAACGCGCGCGTAAACTGTTATTTAATTTTTTTTACGCAATCTTTTTATATTATATAAATAATTACTATATATATCATATATAGTAATATATATAATATCAACATATCAATCAAAGATATAAATTCGAGAAAGATTTTTATTGGAGACTATAGAATTTCAGAAATAGAAAAAATGTTAATTGACTAAAATCGGATTCAAATAATCGAAATAATCTCGGCGAAGCCGCAACGAGAGAGGATTAGACGTCTACCGAAATACTAATCCATTTGTTATACACCAGTAGTAAAATTTATCCGCCTGAGCGCGCTTCTAGGACGTTGTTATTTTAGGTGATATCTGAGAGTACGGCTGTGAGGAGAAGTGAGGAGAGAGAGAGAGGTGAGACACGGCGAATAGATTGAGGAGAGATGCAGAGGGGGTAGACGGAGAAAACGGTCGTCGTCGCGCAGGTTGTGGGTCGAGCCTTAGCGAGGGAAGCACCCGAGGACCCTCGAAGGTAATCTTGGCTCGTTCGCGGAGGGTTGCATTTTGATCCCTGGAGCTTCCGCAGCAGCACGATCTCTCTGCGCCAACACCGCGTCCGGGCTCACGCATTTACTATAATTAGAACTCCCTAATTAACGAGCAAACGTCGCACGGGGCTGTCGTAATCTCGGGCTTGACCTTCCACCGTCGTTTAGACGCCTCTTTTCTCGCCCCGCGTTTTAATCCGCCTCCCTCTTCTCTCTCTTCTTTTACCTCCACTCGCTCGCGGAAGATCAAGAAAAAGTAGAGGCTGCGCGCAGCACTAAAATTCCGCTCCTCTTTATTTTGAGATTAAGGGAGACATATATATATATATATATATAGTTTGACGATTGTAGAAAAACGTTTAAATTTTAATTTTAGAAACCTATAAAAAAAAATTATATAAGTATCGTGTTTTAAGATTATTATCAATGCTCTTATAAAGCATTTTACAGATTAATGACATAAGTTATTTTCGTAAAATTAACTTAAAAAAATAGTTGTTGAAATATATTTTTTAATGCTTCGTTCACACGCGCGCACACAATATAAATTTGTAAAACTCGTAGAGACGAGAAACGATAACATTGCAAACGCGTTTCCCGTTTGTTCTCACCGCATTTGAAATCACACGAGACATAATGTCAACCCCCCTGACACATTCGTTGCCAACCGGAGATACCCCTTTCCCATGGGACAAGTTGTTTTAAACTAAATTTAAAACATTGAGTAAACAACGTTGGCGTGCGACCATATTGAGCAGAAATTAAAAAATAAGCTTCTTGAACCGCCACCCTCTGTGATAGATTTAATTGTTAGAGAGAGAGAGAGAGAGAGAGAGAGAGAGAGAGAGAGAGAGAGATAGAGAGAGAGCGGTCGCTCTTCTCGAGTATATCAATAATGACTGGAAAAAACGAAAAATAAACTAATGTCGAAAGTTTAACTTTTTTCGCAAGAGGTTTTCTCTATTTAATTCGAACATTGACAAGTTCATTAATGATACATGTAAAATGTTTTATTTCAAATTTACTTACAGAAAAAATACAAAGTGTAGATACAAATATACAAGTGGGTATAAATTAAATAAATTTCAGTAGAAAGAGAATATATGTAAATATTGAAATATATATAGATACGATTATAAAAATTACGAAATAATCAAAGAATTGTTAAGACAAATTATGTTCTGTTATTAAAATTCAGTCGCTTCAGGCTACATTTTGTTACGTCATAATGCATTGCAAAATATATTAATTTTCATATCTCGTAAAGCAGCGAGTTGTAAAATAAAAATTAAATTAACATAGAAGTTGTTTTAATTGCGTGTAATCACAATGTTTATTATTCGTTGTGTCATTTGCGGCTTTGTCTATTTAGACGATACGACGACGGTGGAAGAACGAATCCGAAAAGTAACGATAAAACCCGTTTGGTGGTGCCAGTGTGCACCGCGCTGATAAATATAACGTAACAAGTTCAGTGGAATAACAGCTTCATCCCAGAGGGATCAATGCGACTTTGCTTCGACTTTCACGCAGAATTTCCTTCTGGAAAAGCGTACGCGTGAAAGAATCGAATAGATAGAGTGAAGTCAATCTAAAAAAAAAAAGTAGTATAATACAAAAACGTGGTTTTCTCAACAGCGCTGCGCGTAATTGCTCAATGTATTGTTTACATAGAATTTTTTATTCATGTCTTTATTGACAATGACGCTATAAAAAAAAAAAAAAAAAGGTTTTGAGTTGCGCGTTGATATCTTTCCGATATATTGAATCTAATCTGATTATCGTCTTATTTTCAATTGATTCCGCGAATTTATCATCTTTGTGAACAAATAAACATCGATTTATGTCATTTATGTCTGTGATGAACAATTTGACTTGCTTTTATCAAGTGCGAATTTCGCGATCGCAGTCGTTTCTTTTTTTTTTTTTTTTTAAAGAAAGTAAAATTGACACTTTTTATTTAAATTGATTGTTTCTTGACGGAATAAACCGCGACCGCGTCCGTTAATTTGCAATGACGTAGGAGCCTTCCATTTCCGTAACAAGGACGACAAAACTACTCGACCGTAAAAAGTAAATTAAATAAGAATTAAATACAAATAAAACCGCTCAGCCAAGTAATTGGCTGGTAACCTCCTCGCTCGTTGCCTGACAACCGTCTGAGATCGTTCTGCCACCCTCGACGCTTCTCGCTCGGGAAAGAAACAGGATCCTACATCAATAGACACGTATCGTGACGTAAAAAAACCCGCAAGAAAATTACTATTCTTTCGGTTACTTACGAGTTTAGCTGAATTAATCGAATTATGCAATTATGCGAATAATGAATTTTTTTGTGACTTTGCAATTTGTTCAAGAGATCTAGATCGCTGTAAATTCGATTACAAATTACAACAAATATGGAATAAAACTATTCTTGTCATCTTTTTAATATAAAAGTAATGAATAGAAGAAGAGCCAAGAGAAACCGCGTGCGAAAATTCATCATCTCGCCGTCGTTGCGTCGAGTTACGTCAAAAAAAAAAAAAAAAAAAAACCGTTTTAAAGGAGCTCGGTGAATGGGGTCAGGCAACGAAGAAGGGTGGCGTGCTTTCTCTTCTATGTCTCATAGCCGAGGTGGAGTTTTCGTCGTGACGAGACGGTCGGCGGGGCAATCATGGCCGGATTAGACGTATGTATAAGGATCGTGTTGCCTACTCCCGCTTGGCGGCGAGAAGCATGGAGGGTTCCCGAGCTCGGGGGGTCAAACGGGTCGCAAGATAGACGTCTGCGCGCTCGGGATGAGAAGCATAAATGATATTCCATGAGGAGCATATGCGTGCGGAGATGGCTCCTCCTTCGTTCGCGCGAGCCCTCGGCGAGGGTGGTTCTGCTGTCACCCCCCCTCCCTCCCCCCGGCTTGGCAGCAGGGCGCTGGTTTATTACAAACAAGGATTACCCGGGTAATGGGACGTTTCTGTCCCTTCGGTTCACCGCGCCGAGCCGAGCCGAGCCGAACAGTGAGAACTTTGCCGCGCACTGACTGACTCATGCTTGTTCGCTCTTCTGCCGATCTTCCGGGTTGTCTCTCCGACAAGAGAGTCGCCGGGACTAAAATGAGAACGGGAGATCTACAATTGCCGATAACCTAACCCGGATTTACGAAGCACATTGGGTGCCGCTGTGAGTGAATTTGTCAACACAACATGTCAGATAAGCGAATAAAATAATTGCGAATCGGATACACGGATTAATGAAACGAAATAATGGGTAACGATTTGATGGGATTTAATATATATATAAGGATATATATATCGCGTCGTGTCTTCGTGACAGATCTTATAATACGAATGAAATTTTGCGCGCCTACATTACGATCGCGTTGACGATTTGCCGCTTCTCTCAATATGTGCAATGGGACGCTCGCGAAAGCGCAAATCTCCGCGAGATTATGCCAATAGCGATAATGGTATTTGTAAAAGCGGGAGCTTCATTCGGCGAATTGCAGGTTTCAGCTTAATCCGAAACGTTCTCTTCAAGCGTGCCGCTCAAACACCGTCCAAATCCGTGTTTAAATACTGTAAAAAGTTCCGTCGATTTTGCGACTGTATCCGGGATTCGATTGGTCCATATGAGGACCCTCGATATTTAATTTCACGTTGCTCGGATGAATTCTCCGCGGCAAAGTTGGCCCGCTATGACACCTAGATTTATCCGCCGATAAAGGTATCGTCGCCGGTTTCGGTAGTTCCTCATCCGGATGACCGCTCACGTGCATCGGTCTGTCCGGTTTCGGTAGTTCCGGCAAAATCTACAAATTATATTCACGAGCGAATCAAATATTCATTATTTATATATATTATCGCACACACCTTTGAAATCAACAACTTCGTACACACACCTTAATCTCGTTTCTTAAAACTCGCCAAGTTTCTCTGCCGAGAGTTTCCGGCTGTACGGGCACAAATCTTTTCGGTATCAAAGTGTCTCGGCTGTGAGCGTAAACACTGGTAAGCGCTAGATCGAGAGCGTCGTATGGTACCTGTTAAAAAAAAAAAAAAAAAATATCATTGACAAATCTCATGACAAAAAAAAATTAAAAACTTCAATATACCGCGTGTCAAAATCAAACCTGCGTTCTGACGAGTCGACGATCTCTGCGAACGCTGTTTAGGGTGTGATGAGCAAAGAGACGCTCGTGAGCGCTCAGATTGACGCGCCATTCCCTGTCCGATGGCGAGACTTTATCTCCCAACACGGGTCCGCGCGGTATCCACGCTCCTTCACGGGAAACATCCGGCACGGGATAAGGATTTCGAATGTGGAATCCTTGCGCCATCCTTGCGGCCGCAAACTTCGTCGCACCGACGCTTGGAGAACATAAAGAGGGACAACATATAGGAATCAATTTTTCAGTTGAAACATTTTGTCACATAACCCTAACAAAAGTTGCCTGGAAATTTGTAAGAGCGAAGTTGATTCGCTTGTCAATGATCGAGCGTTCGATTAATTAACTCGGAGAAATATGCAGAAAATATATGTTGGAATTATCGATATCATTCATATGTTTCAGAAATTCTGTATCCGTAATAATAAAGTTTACGTGACTTTTTTATACATATATATATATTTTTTTTCAATGCGAATATAAGGCCGATACGAGCCGTTCACAGGATGTTGAGCGGAACTTGTACGTGTATACATATATATATATGTAAACACCTATGACAAGTTCACTTGTGAATTTTTACAAGTGAGTTTTTTGAATTTTCAAAAACCAAGTTCCGCTCAACATCCTGCGAACGGCTCGTATCGGCCTTATATTCGCATTTTGAAACTTTCACGAGCCTTTAAATATTATTTATATTTTTTTTATATAAAGTTGTGTAAATTTACTTGTTCCTACTTTCTTTTGTACTGCTTTAATAATTTTTTAATATTCTTCGAAATATGTTCCCCCTATTATTAATCGCGGCGGTTGCTTGGCTTCTGTGTTCGCGCGCGTGGAGATTATCCCTACACTATAAACTCTCTCTACTTTCCCGTAAATCCATAGCAAACAATGCCAATCCGGCCGACCGCAGAACTCAAGAGGCCGCATCCGGTCTCGCGGTTTGCTTCTTCGAAATTAAGACGCGACTCCGCCGCAAGCCTGACCAAAGACCAACACTCGAATCGGCTCGCGTGAATCTCGATCTTCTTCGTTCATAAACAAGGCCGACGTTAATTCATGCGAGAACCGGTCTGCATCGCATCAGACTCTCCACACAGGGAGTCCACTTATCTATTCCTCTTCCGGTCGTTCTCTCTCTCCTTCGGTTTCCTTTCTCCCCCGCCCCCCCCCTCCCCCCATGCTTAGAATACTTAGATACCGATTCTTTAATCCAAAGAAAATCGTTAAAAAAATTTTTTGCTTTCGCGTTGTGAAAGAATCTATTGTAAAAGTTGATTGAGAGTTTTTTACAAATAAGTATCACAATTTCTGTCCGAAGTAAAAAAATAACCAATTAATTGCGAAGTAAAACTGACGATAAATTTTACAGTTTTTTGCTTCTATAAACAAATGGTTTTGCAATTTTTATGCGTTGTTAAACAAAATACGCGCAATTTACTTACTGTACGAATATTGATCGCGTTTTCAAAGCGTTTTTTTTTGCAAAGCAAAAACACGATCCGAGGAATCGCGAATCGCGGTCGGACGCACAGGGCTCTCTTCTCCGCTTTTAACGTGTTTTGCTCAGGAGGTGGTCGGTCACGCCGACGTCCGATATTAAACCCGCAGTAATTTATGTTAGCGCGAGAGCGCGTGCATAATGCTGTTTGTATAAAGCGCTATCGCCACGTGTCGACTCGTGCCAACGTGTATCACTCCCTCCCGCGTGCCCGTTCTTTAATTCCCGCGTAGGCGATGCGCGCGAAATCCCAGCCAACACGCACGCATGCCATTCCAAATGCACCCTTACATCTCGAATGTTGAGATGCGCACAAAGAAAAAATAATACGAGCGTTTTTATGTACGTGTGTGTGTGTGAAGTCTTTTTTTTTCTCTTAACTTAATCGAATTGCTTCCGTCTCGATAAGAGTTTTAATTTTATGAAAATCTCTTCTCTCGACTTTAAAGTTTAAACATCTTCGTTTTATATCACAAAAAAAAAAAAAAAAAAAATATCATTGCGAATAATAAATTTTGCGCTTTCCTTTTTGCATTTAAAACATTCTTTATATATTCCGAAATTTACATTTAAAACATTCTTTCGTTCATATATTGGGTAAATAAATTTCGGACGCCACACGAAAATTCGGCGTCCCCTTTTATCTCCGGCAGATGCGCTTGTGCGTTTATTAACGTAAACGTAGATTCGTTCTCTCCTTGGTTTGGAGAAGGGTGGTAGGGCGCGAATCATCTTCCGCGTCACTGCTTGTTCGACCTCTTCTTCGGGGCATCAGCCCGGGTTACGAGACGGGGAGACGACACGCGTAATCGCGTAATCGCGTAATCGTGGCGCGTGCTGAAGTTCGGGTTGCGGGAGCTTTGCGTACGTCTACACTGGCGCACGTGCGACGTTGCACACCCTGAATCAACAGCGATCGCGAATCGCACAGATCTATTCGTGAACGTCAAACGGACGCGTCCATCCGTACCCGGCGAATCCAGGCAGCGCGTTTTACGAGATAATCGGCACAACGACCTGAGCCGGATTACCGTCGACTATCATAAGCGCATCAAGTGTACTCCGACCGAAATGACAGCGCTAATTAAGCAAAGTATAATCGCGGAAATTACCGTAATTTCTATTACCCTTCAAGAGAGACAAATATGTTGTGTGTTTTTAATTAATTTCCGTTAAGTGCCAATTGAACGTTATTAATCTCACAGTTGCATTATATTCCATTACGATAAAAAAAAAAAAAAAAAAAAAAAAAAAAACAATTTATAATTCATTTTTTATGTCACTCATAAATTTTTATGACCCGTTTTGAATACATACATAGTGTATTAATTATTTATCATTTATTCTACACTTAATTTTAGAGCTTGTAACGTATTAAAGTTATTAATTATATGAAATATTTGTGATATATATTTTTTATGTTATGTTTTTTAGGGGTAGCATCGTATTTTTAGTATTTTCTCAATTTTTTATATTAACGCATCATTTCCTACCTAGTCGACAACGGGAAAGAAATAAAGTGTCGCGGACCTGTTTTCTCAATTTTCCGACTTCGACGATGTTTACCGTCGCACCGTTGCGCCGTATATGTATTTCGTGAAATGACCGAGTTCCTGCGGCTTGTTGTGTGTGTATGTGGATGTGCCGAGATTCCGCTTCCCTTTAAATCCTAATCCGGTAATATCCTCGGGCCGATATACCGGCATCGGTAATGGAATCGCGCATTCAAATGGACATCGTTTCCCACCGACGACGACGACGGCGGCGGCAGGAGGCAGGTCGCGGCAAGGGACAATGCCGGGGGGATGATATTGCCAATATTTGGCTTGATTCTGGTGCGAATGTGCTCGGCTGTGTGCCGAGGGTGTGCGCCCGCTCTCTCTCTCTCTCGCACCCCCTTGAAACGGGGGGTTGGAGACGGGGCGCGTTGGTGTACGTTAGACGTACGCGGAGCCGATTACCATTTGAATGTCCCTACTGGCGGTCAGCCTTTGTCAACCCTCGTGACACTGACCGCACCTACCTATCTATCTAAGGGAGAGATTCACCTATCCCCCCTCGCCTTTTTGTCGACAACCGTCTGTTCCTGGATGACGCCGCGCGCCGAAAGAAGCGTCGTCGTTGTCGAACGTCCGTCCACATCTCTCACTCACTTGTAACTTTTTTTTCCACGGTCATTTCGACATCGTTTGTCGATCGGTGTGTCTCCCATCCGAAGGATCGATTAGCGTCGATTTGAACAAAAAAACAAACAAAAAAAACGTGATGAAATCAGTCCCCGACTGGTGGCGAGAACAGTTTCGCTCTCTTACTGCGAGAAGGTGGACGTTTCTAATCGATTGAGTCCGAAGGGGTGTTCCGACGCTCGGCGCGCTTCCCTTTGTTTCCTTGCGATCTGACATATTTGTCGTTTCATCGCATTGTGTGCGTTTCGAAAACTGCGACAGATGATGACGACAAAAGCCGAGAGAGAAGTCAGCAGCGTGGTTTTGTTGGGAAAACACATCCACAGTCGATCTGGGGTAAACGACACTCCCTCCCCCCTCCCCGCCCCCCATCGCAGGATTCGAAATTTAGGCTGACATTTTCAATGTTTCCGTTGGAAGTCGCAAAGCTAACCTTTTGGCTTTTATTGTATTATCAATCTTTCGCTAATTAATTTTCGGGATTAATTTAAATCTTTTGATCGAACACATTTAAAAATAGACAATTATATAATTACAGTTAAAAGATAAATTACTATATTTGTAGAAAGAAAGAGCAAGTTGACGGAGAAAGAAAGTAGATAAGAGATAAGGAAATTCAATCTTTGATTGCGGCGAAAATACGAAGTGTCGTCCGTTTGCGCGGATAAGTAAAGAACTCGATTCCACACGGCATAGTTTTACGACCCCTCCGTGTAGAATAATGTCGTACACCCTGCGTGACCGATGCGACGAAACGAATAGGGCGGATGAGAAGCGGCGGTGCGACAGGTGGTCCGTGAAATCAGTGCACGAGCGCGCCGTTTTCCACGACCCTCGTTTCGACGCGCTTCATTACAGAATTAAGTGCATAATAATTAGAGTCAGGGTGCCGATAGGTGATTCTCTCTCTCTTTCACTCTCTCTCTGCCTCACTTTGTCTTGTGGCATCTTTATGATCTTCACGATCTATCGCATTGTGTCATATTAATCTCTATTTTCTACACCGAAAAAATTATATTCTTGTAAGTAGAAGATTTTATATTTAAAAAATTTTCTTAAAGATTTTAGATGATATTCTTCTGAAATTAAGAATATATTCTTTATTTAAGAATATAT